CGACTTTATAATTATAGAACGTATAACATACTCCCCCCGTTGAGAGAGTATCGATCAATTAATCCGTTCAAGCTCGACGCTTATTGATTATTACACATGTTACATTTTTTATATATTATTTGTATAACGTTGTCATGATCACGTATGTCGCTTAATTAGTGTTCGAGCGGTAATGGGCATAATAATGATGTAGATCTTTTTATTACTCCGGAAGCTGTTTGTACGGTGGCCACTCGTGCGATTCCGTCTTCGCCTGGGTGTAGCCGCATAATACGTCCTAATGCCCATTGCAGGCATGGTAGGTTTTTATCTTTGATGGTCACGATCGTTCCGACTTCGATTTTTGGTCCGTCTTTGACCCATTTAACGCGCTTCTGGAGCTCGTTCAGGTACTCTATGTGCCATCGTGTCCAAAAGTCCTGTCGCACCTTTGTTATGTGCTTCCATATGGATAAACGATTAGCTGGAACATGTGATAGATCGCCCTCCGGAAGGGATGTTAGAGACTTTCCAATTAAATAATGCGCAGGAGTTAAAACCAATATGTCATTTGGGTCGGACGATAAGGAAGTGATTGGTCGGGAATTCAGGATACCCTCGACTTCGGTGGTAAACGTATCTAATTCCTCGAAGGTGAACAGGGAATCACCGACAACGCGTTTGAAGTGGTGTTTGAACAATTTTACCATCGATTCCCATAAACCATCGAAGTGTGGTGCCATTGGTGGGATAAAGTGCCATGTAATTCGCCGCTCGCTCGCAAACCTATTCACCTCATTTTTATGTTCGTCCGAATTTAACAAGACGTATAGTTCTTTCAACTTGTTCGCGCCTACAAAATTCGTTCCATTGTCGGAAAATATGTGTTCCGGCAATCCCCTTCTCGCAATGAAACGACGCAAAGCGACAATGAAACCTTCTGATGATAAGTCGCTGACGACCTCCAGATGGACTGCCTTAATTGTCATGCATACAAATATACATACGTATACTTTAATCCGCACGCGATTACGATGTTTTTTCTCTTTAATAAAAAACGGACCGCAAAAATCGACACCAGTGCTAGAAAAGGAAATCGTCTGGCGTACCTGAACCGACGGAAGGTCACCCATCTTATATTGTACCGATTTGGCGCTGAATCGTGAACAACGCAAACACGCGCGAATGACTCTCCGAACCTGATTACGACTATCGCTAAGCCAAAATCGTTGTCGGAGGATATGCAGAGTAGATTGTATGCCCGTATGATAATTATTATTGTGGATCTCACGAATTATACAATCGGTTAAACGGCATCGATTGGGAAGCAAGATCGGGTGCCTTTGAGAGAATGTTAGCTCCGCTCTCCGAATGCGTCCCCCAACTCGAATTAAATCGTTTTGATCTAGAAACGGACTCAAAGCCGCGATGCTAGTTTTATTTACGCCGTCGTTTTTGAGAGCTTCGATCTCGTCGGGAAATGCAGCAGTCTGTAACGCCTTTAGCACTCGAATCTCCGATTCTTTGACTTCCTCGGCGCTTAATGAGCCGCTACGCTTATTATCACGCCGAACACGAAGGCAATATGCCATGACTCGAATTAACTTCGAATAAGACGAAAATCACTCGAACAATTCGACCTCGTTCACAGTTGACTGCAAACATATATTTTTCCGCATTTCGGGTATTTCGATCGCCCGCGTGATCACGTTAGGCCACTCCTTTTCGTCCCTAACCAACCACGAGGGACCCTCGAACCACGTTTGATTGTTCGCAAAGGCTCGAGGTAACTGTCCTCTCGAAACCGCGTCGGCCGGATTATCCCCGGAACGAACATGTCGCCATTCGCCTGCACTGGTTGTCTCCTGAATTTCTTTAACGCGATTGGCTACGAACGTGTGGAGAGAGTGTGGCGAAGACTTTAACCAGTGCAGTACGATAGTCGAATCACTCCAAAAGACGACTTTGCTAAGACTAAGATCCAACGCGATGCTGGCCTCGGTATATAAACGAGCCAGCAACAATGCTCCGCATAACTCAAGTCGCGGCAGCGTAAGGGTTTTTAAAGGCGCGACTCGCGATTTCGCACACAGAAGTCTAGAAACTATGGAGTTATTTCCTCCCTCCGAACGTATATATAAACATGCTCCATAGCCGATTGTGCTAGCATCACAAAATCCGTGAATTTGCACGTCGCGACTGTCTTTAACCAGTAACTTACGGGGAAAAGATATTTGATCTATCAACTCTAATTGCCGCGCGAATTCCTGCCATTCAGTGTATATGCATTCCGGCCGGATTCATTCCAATGCACTCCGGAGCGCCACACGTCCTGCATTAATTTTTTCGCGCATAGAACCACTGGTCCCAATAAACCCAACGGATCGAAAATCTTTGCGACTGCGGATAACACAATCCTTTTCATGAGCCTCTCGGTATTCTGAATCGGATTAGTCGAATAGTATATTTCATCATTACGTATGCTCCACGATATTCCTAACGTTTTTAAAGAACGGTCTGTGTCGAATGCAAGGCTTGCGTGTAATGCGCGCGTGGGCATGTCCTTTATGATGCGTTCATCATTCGATGCCCACTGTCTAATATTGAAACCTCCTCGTGCTAGCAAAGCGGTAATATCGTCTCTAATCAATCGAGCTTCGTCAATATCGTTCGCCCCTGACAATAAGTTGTCTACGTATAAATGTGTTTTGAGTATCTCGACCGCTCTAGGGAATACGCGGCATTCATCGTTTGCCAATTGGTGGAGGGTACGGATCGCAAGAAATGATGAAGACGACACGCCGAACGCGAGGGTATTAAGCTGAAATGTCTCGACCCTGTCGTTTTTACGCCACACAACGCGCTGATATTTTCGTTCGTCTTCGCGTACCAACACCTGCAGATACATTTTCTCGATATCCGCGGTTATAGCGTATTCGTATGTTCGAAAACGAATTAAATGTGTAAATAGCGTATCCTGTATCATCGGCCCCACCATCAATACATCATTCAAGGATGTATCGGTGGTCGTTTTTGCCGACGCGTCGAATACTATCCTGATTTTGGTAGTGTCGCTCGACTCCTTAAGAACCGCGTGATGCGGCATATAGTATCCGTCGAGTTCAGCGTTGTCTATCGCCGTTATATAATCCGATATTAGATATTGTTCGAACGCTCGCGTATATTCATCTTTAAACGACGCGTTCCGTTCAAATTTTCGTTCTAATGCCAGAAAACGTTTAATCGCCATATTTCGCGACTCCCCAAGGTGTTTCGACGTGTTACGAAATGGCAGCGAAACTACATATCTTCCTTCAGCATTGCGCAAGGTCGTTTTTGCGAAATGAGCTTCGCATTCGATTTCTTCCTTGGATTTCGGGTGTGTCCCTGACAGCTTCTCGATCGCCCAGAATTTAGTGATTCGATTTTCTAATTCAATTAATTGACAGTTCATTGATTTCGCAGAAGAACAGAACGAAGTGCTGCCAGCGACCACCCAACCGAGACGTGTTTTTTGTATGTATAAATCATGACCGGCGTGTGATAAGTTAATCTGACCTATACGGAATAGCGATAAAGTTGTTCCTGATCCGATCAGTAAATCGACCGGCCGGGGCAAATGGAAATTTGGATCGGCCAATTTGATATTTGATGGTATCTTTATGGCTTCTCGCGGAAAAGTTTCGGACGGGACCAATTCCGTTATAGTCGAAACTATCAAGCACGTCAGTTCTTTACGAAAATCGTCGTGTATTGATTGCACAGTGGCACGCACGAGGCCCCTCGATTTGGTACTTGTAGCATTGATGGCACCGATCGGCATAGAATTCGCAACCACGGGGATACCAAGGCGCCTGACGACGGACTCGGAAATAAAATTGGTAGTCGAGCACGTATCCAGCAAGGCACGACATTTGACCAAGTTATTTTTGCAATCGCTAACGTATACCAAAGCACTTGTCAATAGCTGCGGCGTGGCTGTATTGTGCAAACTTGACGCGAGATTTACCGCCCCCAGTTCGGCCGAAGATATTAGTCAATCGGTTGATTTAGTCTCGGTTTTCGTCGTCCCGGATTGGCGCGCGGCCGCGTAATTTTCAATATGTAAAAGCGTGTTATGACGCTTTTGACAAACAGTGCAATTTGAGAACTTACACGGGGTATCCCGGTGGGAACGCAAACAATTATAACACACCTTCGCACTCTTCACGAGTTCAATACGCTTGGGCACCGACAATCGCTTAAACGCATCGCATATATATAACGGATGTTTCTTTGTCTTACATGCTATACAAACACGCGGCGCGTTCAAAAGAAATGTTTTATTAGCGGCGTATTTTTTCCTTTTAGCTGGCATCTCACATTTCTCTTTCTCCGGATCCGCATTTTTTGATCTTTCTCGCTTCGACGCGCATACCGCGGTTTTATATAAAAACTCGTACATGTCATCGAGCTTAGGAAACTCGTCTCTCTCGAGAGTTGTTTCCCATTTTTCCAATGTATTTTTTGGCAATTTACTCTCTAATAAATGAACGAGCATTTCGGGACCGACGGAAATTCCCATTGCGCTCAATGATGCGACGTGCTGCTGGGTATCGTCCGCGATCTTAGACAGGCCGCTTGACGACTCCCTCTCCAACGTAGGCATGTTCGTAATTAAAGATAGATGTCGCGAAATTAAAATACGCTTAACCTCGTATGAGCGTTCCAATAATTGCCATGCCTTCGAATAATTTATCCCGTCGATCTCGAATATCCTTGTCTTATTGGCCGCCGATTCGGTCAAACTTGATTTCAAATAATGTAGCTTGTCTATGTCAGATAGATCATTTCGCGACCCTATCATATTACGAAACGCATTTTTAAACGATAACCAACTCTCGACCTTGCCGTCGAACGTGGGCAACGGTGCTTCCGGTAATTTTATTCGCCTCGTTTTCGCGATCGTCGAGTTTTCGGTGTTATTGCTTCGTGCATCGATACTGGATGGACCGTCGTGAGTTAAATCCGTCGCGTTTAAGATGTCGTCAATTTTGGCCGCAATATTGAAAAATCGCTCTTGAATATGAACAAATTCGTCTTGGTGAGCATCGCTCGGATCTGCCAGAGCGAGCTCGTCGTTAAGCTCTTCAAACGCTTTGTATAACTCGGTTAAACGCATGACTCGTAATTTTAATACGGCATTGCTTAATCCACCCTTGTCGAGGAGGTTTACTAAATTGGTTATTTGGGATTTTAGGGACGTTCGCTTTTGTATGATGAACCTGATTCTATCAGCCATTGTTGTGCCTTTGATTTGTGATCGAAGTGTAATCGAATGACTTACGTTACTCTACGAGTCAATGTGTGGGATGCGACGGATGTGCGGCCTACCGGTCGCTTTCGGCGACTTCGATTGAAATGTATGCGGCCGATGACTGTCTCGCAGAATTATGCCAACGCCTATGTCCTCGGACGTTGAGAATTCACACTTCACAGCAACCTTGCCAACGCCTATGTCCTTGAACGTTGAGATTTTATACCTCACAGGAGGCACCAAAATGTTTTGTCTTCCTCAGCACAGCCGACACGAACGATTGCAC